GTAGTATTAAAAAGTTTAAATGATTCAAGTAATCCAGGAAAAGCCTTTTTTGATGAGGTTGGTAGTTGTCATTTAAAACAAAATAAACAATATTGTATTATAATACTAATTGGTTTTATATTCAATAGGCAATGAATTATTCTAAAATTAAATCGGGTTTGATTGTTGATTGCCATGGTATAACTAAATTTCCAGATAATGGAAATTATGCAATTGTTTTAGGTTATGGTCCAGAAGGAAATTTGAGGAGTCATTTGCAAAACAATCATTTAAATTTAACATTAAAAGACAGAATTACAATCTTTTATTATTTATGTGATGCATTATACCAGATACATGAAAAAGATTTAATCCATTGTGTTTACATAGTGGTAATATACTTGTGTCAGGAGGCGGTTGTTATATTACAGATTTGGGATTATGTGGACCAGTTGATGAAGAGTCATCAAATAAAGTCTATAGAATTGTATCATATGTTGCACCCGAACTACTTAGAGGCAAAAAGAATACAAAGAACACCAAAGAAACTGACATATATAGTATTGGGATGTTAATGTGGGAAATATTTGCAGGACATCCACCATTTGATGATAGAGCTCACAATCATCATTTGATTTTTGATATATGTGAGGGTTTACGACCACCAATACTACCTGGAATGCATGATGATTATGTGCAAATGATGCAGAGGTGTTGGGATGTGGATCCATCAAAAAGACCAACTAGTGGAGAACTTTGGACATTTGCTAAAAATAAACATGGTGAAATTATTAAAAATAATAATGATGATAATGGTAATCATGCTACTAGTAGTGGTAGTGGTGCTTTGCAACAAGTATACAAATTACATCCAGATGCATATCATACAAGTAGAATATTAGATGAAGAGATTGCTAAATCTAAAAGCTTAAAAATTACAAGTAATAGTTTGTTAAATAATCTTGATTGTGACTCTTTTTTTTCTAAATGTTAACAAAGGTGAATAAAAATTCATTTATTAATTAATTGGAAATTACTATCCATTACTAACAATATCAATCAATTAATTAATAAACATTAGATTCTAGTAACAATAGTGATTTAATCTCCACTATAAATTTATTCTTTATCTTTTATTTATTTTTTTATTTCATCCTTATTTTATTTCTTATCCTGTAACAATATTTTGAAATAAATTTTTCGATTCTTGTTAAATGATGATATGCGAGGTATCATTTTGGTTAATTAACAATTATGGTTTATAAAGTTCCTTTGTAAAATAGCTTAAGTAGCTTGTTTAACAACCTTACGTTTATGACTATAATACTATCAATATTTCCGATAAACCTTTGTTTACTCACTAAAGCAAATTATGTTGCTAATCGTTGTTAACACTCACTAGTTAATCCTTACCTTGCTTGCTTGCTCACTAAAGCAAATAAAACATGGCTTTTTACCAAAGCTCTACAATTGTTGCCTTTTACCAAGGCATTAACTACACTTGTTTCTTTTATTGAAGCACTTTAAACAAAGAAAATAAAGACAATGTTTTTGTTTTTAAAAGTTTATTAATGATAAATTTTATTTAATAAAAATAACGATTATATCACAGAGTTTTTATTTTATTAGAATGCATTTTTTTCCTCTACGAAGACCCGAAGTTATGCTTTTTCAAGCGAAAACCAGAAGTTATCCTTAATGAAATTTTCACTATAATAAGGATAAAAGATAAAGATGCAAAGTAATTTGATCAATTAATTATAAAAGGCTTTTGTATCTCTAAAGTAATTCATAAATCCAACCAAAAGTAAAGTACCATACATATAAATAAATATGTAATGAATTAAATTTAATTAAATTAAGAATCTTTAATGTACGTTTGCTTATCATTATTACCTTACCTTTTTTAACTATACATAAAAATTTATTAAATCTAATATATTTGACCATTTTGCAATTGTGAATAAGATGTTTTTTTTAAAATGATTACTGACAGTGTAACGTTTCGGGAAAAACCTAAACCTAAGATCTGAAAAGTTTCGACTGAGAACAAAAAAGCCGAAGCACGAATCTCACATGATAAAAAATAGTAACTTCACAAAAAACGTTTAAGAAGGAAATGAAAATTCGGGCTATTGATTTTCTTGTTCTATTCCCTGAGACAAAAGCTCCCAAGTACATCTTTTATTTGATAAGTTTTGAAGGCCCCACAAAATATTGAGTGATTAGGATGTGTACCAAATTGATTCATTGTTAATAATAATAAAGTTAAAAGTAAGGTTATAGTTTGAAATTAATCTGTAAAAAATTGTAACAAAATATCTTCAACATCAAATAAATATTTTCATGACCATGGTCAAACAAATTGCCTTTTTCTTTTAACAAGGTGCCCATATTATAGTCTGTTTTTAATGTACTTGACATATAATTTAAATTCTTCATCAAAGTAAAAATCTATACATAATTAATTTACTGTTACATATTAAGATTAAATTACCATTACGAAATAAGTCATCTGATGCATAATAATTTTCACTGATAATTTTTCTTTATCTCCATCTTTTTGTCGTTATTATTTATTAATTTTTGAGCCTGTTACATTTATATGTTGAAACTCTGTCATAATCTATGGTCCATTGGATCTCTTCTCCTATAATGATATAGGAACATGTTCATTGCTTGAATTAGCAGTGCAAGCATTTAAGTTTTTTTCTTTTTTCAATTATTTTACTAATTATTGGACATGGTCGTGGAAGTGTATTGCTGATTGAATTGCAAGATTTGAGATCTTCAAGAATTTCACTTAATATGTCATGTAATCTTGCACCTAAATAATAAATTTCATGATATTTCAATACAAACCTCGTTTTATAAATACCTCTTTATCAATGAATTGTTTGATCTTAATAAAATTATTGAGGGCCATAGTAACATTATTACGATCAATAATTGGCTCAAAATCAACATCATTATTTTTCATATCTTTTTGAGTTTGAGATTGTATAGGTCCATTGGCCTTCATCAAAACATACAACTAACAAAAATTCTAAATATTTATTTGCTGATTTGAATTTTTCTAATGTTTCACCTTCATTTTCATCACCATCAGCTATCAAATCTAGGAAACTTTTAATTCTGTTGATTCATTATCTTCTTCTAATGAGTTATCCACATAAATAAAATATAAACTTTGTCCTTGAATTTATCTATAAGGCATTATATATAATCACAATAAAATAATATTGTAATGAGAATAATATTAAAGCAAATTGGGGATATAACACCTACATGATGAAACTGTTATATATAATGCGCTCTAATGAATAGACTGCTAGCTTTGAATTTTGATGATGATCAGCTGCTATCAAAGCTTCTTTTGCATGATCTTCTTTATTGAACACAACATAATCACTAGACTTTATATAGTAATTAAATTCTTTTCATATTTTAAATATCATTCATAATTCCATTGTGAAATTAATGATTTATCAGCAGTGATTAGAAATATTATAAAATCTTGGGTTTCATCATCATAGATATTGTATGTCATGGATTGGTAAAATCCATCATTTTTATTATACATAAAATATATTTTATAATGGTTCAATGCTTTTCAGTTCCTTTTATGATAATTGATTCATCAAGTTTGGTGAAAATAACTTTTTTATGTTCATAAGCTTCTTTGATGGAGATGTTTTGTTTATTTAGAATGGTGATGCTTTGTTTTTTTTATTTCTTTTATTTACCAAGTCGAAGACTACTAAAAACAACATTTTTTAGAATATGATTTTTTTAAAAAAAGATGCTAATGTGATAATTAATTACTTACTTCAACACCCTGTGAAATTGCTTTTCATAATTGTACAACAATTACCAGAAAGAAGAATCTTTAGTATTAGGATATTTTAAAAGAGAAATTTTTTTTTCTTTTTCATCTTCATATTTAAAGCATTGCAAAATCTTTTTGTTAAGATCAACTTTCCATCTAACTATGGCTTTATCTTGATACTATAAGTTAGAATCAGGTTATACTTTATCTGATCGATGTTATGACCATGTTAAATTTGCAAACATCACTTGGTGTTTTTTTTTGATTGTCACATGACCTGATGCTTCATTATTTCAGGTCTGTCGTAAGAACATTATTATCATTTTTTGTTTAAATACTCTGCCTCCATTATATCATTATCGCCCATTCTTCTATAAGATCATTGTTACTATTTTTTGGTTTAAATGCATTGCCTCCACTATATGTTATTATCGCTCATTTTTTTTAAAATTAAAAAAATCAAAAAACTGACAAACTAGTATCAATTATAAGTATATATTAATGTTAATATATATACACACACACATATTTACATGGAAATTCTATATTATCCACGTGAAAAGATGAATAAATTCAAAAAAAAAATTTTCCTCTTTTAGAAAACGATTCGTCGACCCTTCATATATATTACTATTTACTTAAAACAGGAATTCGTATTAATACATGCATAAACTTGCATTTATATAACGTAGGACGTAATCTAAAGTTTTAAACATAATTAGTTAAATCTCGTTTTGTTTATTATTTTGATTTTTTCCGTAATTAGATAAAATTTTTTTTCTAATGACACTTTTGTTTTGTGAAAAGACTTAATATTACAGTCTAATTAATCATATTAATCCTTTAATTTGCTATTAATGTTAATATTAAATTATATTTATTCTATTACAACATGTGTGTAATTTTAGATTTATATGTAATAAATGTAAATGTCATAAAAATTTTCCTTTCATTCATTATTGTCAAAAAACATCATATTTTATTATAAAAGAAATACATAGGCAACCCCGTTAAACCGAAGGCAATTGTGCAGGAAGTTTTCTTCGGATTAACGGGGTTTTTTTATAATCCGAAGTTATTATTAGAGTCATAAATTAATTCGGATAAACGGGGTAATAAATCTAAAAATTTAGGATTTAGAATTTCCTTTATCCATTTTCTGGCAGTGAATTGATTTGGATTCAATGATAAAAAAAATAATCGCTCTTTTTTAGAATTTCAGAAACAGTAGATTTACTTAGTGATGTTAGCCGGCTTGAGCCAATCAAATCCTATTCTCAAAAATAATAAAAAATATTCATTCATTTGTAATGCCGCCAAAAAAGAAAAAGAAAACTAATCCACAAAATAAGCAATTAATTAGTTCCAACACTCGTAGCAAAACAAATTCTTGGTCTGGTGGGTCATTGCATAACAATATTAAACAATCAATAAGTTTATTAACTAGATTTTTATTATAATACTAGGTGTAAACTGTCAGCTTCGCTGACAGTTTACATCTAGAGCACACTATAAATAATCTTGTAAATTTTTTTTTTTATTCGTAATTATTTAATACTGTAAATTCATAGCATTAATAAGTTTAGTTGCGTTTATTATAAATATGTATAGATTTAAAAAAATAACAGTTTTGATTGACATAATTTTGATAAATTTGATTTCATGACTACAAAATCAAAGTTAGAGAATAATCAAAAACTAATACTAATGAAAAATATAATATTTTATTGTGGAATTTTATTGGATCACAATTAAAAATCATTTACATGCGGTAGTCTAAAAGTTACACATCACAACATATTTATTTACGTGCTTGTGGTAGTCTAAACGTAACCCAACGATACAATAATAGATAGATTGCATGTGGTGGTCTAAAACTTTACGCATCACAACATATTTATTCGCGTGCTTGTGGTAGTCTAAACGTAACCCAACGATACAATAACGGATAGATTTTGGCACACTTTTGCGTTATTGAACAATTCAAAAAAATTATTTATGAGTGGCAGCCTAAACGTTACGTTTATTTATGCGTGGGCGCCATTCTAAACGTTACGCTCACGTGAACCTAACGTTTTTAATATAATAGATTAGATGATATTAGCATTTCCAAAAGTATAAAATCTGAAATTGAATTTTATTTGACATCCACTCCTTTGGTGGAATCAGAAAAAAGTAGTCCTACCAAATCTAGCAGTTCAAGCTAGAGTTTATTTAGCTATACCAGCAACCTCTGTTCCATCTGAGAGGTTGTTTTCCTCAGCTGGTAACGTCTTCACAAAAAAAAGAAATAGATTGAACCAAAATAATCTTCATAATATACTGTTTTTGAGAGAAAATTATAAACTTTTTGATCAATAAGTTGGTTATTTTTTTAATTTTATATTAATTGATTTTTATTATGTTTTAATTGAAATTTTTCAATAAGAATAAATAATTCATTTGATCAAATGTTAGCTGGCTAGAATTTTTTACCATATTCATCAGCAGTGATTTTATTTATTTTTGGATACAAATTTCTGATTGGCCAATTTAAATTTCACGCACAACGTTTAGTAAAATAATAAAAAACCCCGAGTTTTAGTGAATTCATATATACAAAGTATGATATTTGTCTACTAAATTATTTGATAAAAAATTTATTCAAGTTCTTAGTCGGCTTAGCCGGCTAAGCCGGCTAACATCACTAGATTTAATGACATTATATTTAGATGCATTTTTTATGTTTGATCTTTATTTTTTTCAATGCATATTTATATTTTTTGTGAGATTGTTATAGGCGTATGTTTTCTTTTTGATACCCCAACTTCTTCAGTAGTTTTTTTCTCCTCTTTTATATTTGTATAACTTGTATATTATTATTATTGGTCCAATTTTTATTTCACTTCGGTTTATAAAAATTCGGATTAACGGGGCAATTTACATATAAATGGCTTCAAAAAACTTAAAAATTTCTTCGCTTTACGGTTTATAAAGTTTTATTAGTGACATTCATATTAACGGGGTAATTTACATATGTTTGGCTTTGGTGTTTTAA